GCATGGAGGAGGGGGTGGGGGGGAGCTATGGGGGGGACACCCCCTTCACCCCTCCTCAGTGCTCCACCAGCCGCGCTCCCTCCCACCACAGTGGCAGGCAGGGGCTGAGGCCGGGAGGATTCATCTCACGCCAGAGCCCCCCACGCTGTCCCTAGGCAGCGCGGGGACACGGGGCACGTAGGGGACCCTGGCCTGGCCGTGGAGACCCGACAGACTCGTGGCACCTCAGTGACGGGGGCTGCTGTTGCTCCCACCCCTCCTGCAGCCTTCGTCCACCTGTCCCTCCAGCCTTCACCCACCCACCTGTCCGTCTGTCCTTCTGTCGCACCATGCATCCATCATCTCTCCGTTCCTCTGCTCGTCCACCCACTGTCCATCCGTCTGTCCCTCCAGACTTGATCCACCTGCCCATCCATCCCTCCTCCCCAGCCAATCGTCCATCTGTCTATCCATCAGCCCCTTTATCCATCTGTCCATCCATCCCTGTATGCATGGATCCATGCACCTGTCTGTCCATCCCTGTACGTGTCTGTTTGTCCAGCTGTCCCTCTGTCCATCCTTCCATCCACGTGAACTCTCACCTGTCTGTCCGCCCATCCGTACACTTGTCCTTCCATCCACTTACGCACTCACCCACCCACCTGTCTGTCTGTGTGTCTGTCCCTCTACGAACGCATCCCTGTCCCCTCTGTCCCCTGCCAGCTCCCCCCGTGCCCCCCTCGTCCTGCGGAGGGGACCCAGCCGTCCTGGCTGGGCAGGAGGAAGAGGAAGGAGGATGAATGGGAGGTGACAGGGACAAACGGCTGGTGGCAGCGCCAGGCACGTTTCCGTCCCCGTCCCTGTCCCCGTCCCCTGCCAGCCCCGGCCGCCGTCGCCGGCACAGAAAGGGCCTTTCAGCCCACGCCAGCGTTTGGCCCCGCCGCGGTTTCCGCCATGGATGCAGCAGGGCAGCGTGCCGGGGACACCAGGGACACCGGGGACGAGGTGACACCATGGGGGGGTCTCCTTGGAGCCCGCTGTCCCTGAGCTCACCCTGTGCACTGTCCCGCACCCCGTCCTGGCAAAAGGCCCTGCAGTGGGGACGGTGGCACCGGGGACACGGACCTGCCCCATCCCAGCTGAGCTGCTGGGGGTCCCCAGAGCCACTGCGTGTCCCCAGAGCCACCGCGTGTCCCCAGAGGCACCACACATCCCCGGAGCCACGACGTCCTCAGAGCCACCACGTCCCCAGAGCCACTGTGTGTCCCCAGAGCCACCGCATCCCCAGCACTCTGCCCACGCCGGGCAGCGGCAGGCACCGGCACATCCCCAGCCACGTCCCCAGGGGGACACAGCGGTCCCTGCAGCCCCTCGGGGTCCCTGCAGCCCCCCAAAGTCCTGCTGCTCCTCTGGGCTCCCTTTGCCCTCCTCTTTGGGTTCCCTGCACCCTGTTTGGGGCCCAAGCACCCCTCTTTGGGGGTTTCCCACCCCTGCAGGGGCCCTGCACCCCTCTTTGGGGGTCTTTTCACCTTCCAGGGTCCCCCACACCCCTCTTTGCGGTCTCCACACCCTGGTTTAGGGGGTCTCTGCACACCCCAGGGCCCCCTGAACCCCTTCTGGGGGGTCTTCACACCCCTGTTTGGGGTCTCTGACCACCCCACCCCCATTTTTGGGGTCACTGCATCCCATAAAGCCCCCATCAGGGGCCGCGTGCCCCCGTGCCCCCCGGCCAGGCTCCTGCGCCTGGACACGGGTTGTGACAAGCTGGAGCTTGTTCCCAGCACGGGGACGGTGCCCGCGGGCAGAGCTGCTGCCGCCACGGCCGGGCCGGTTACCCATTAACCCCCCTTGCCCCCGTGCCTCGGTTTCCCCCCGGGGATGCTCAGCACTGGGAGTGAATGCAGGGGTCCAGCCCTCCCTGGGGGGTCCGGTGCGGGCTGGGGGGACATGGGGACACGTCCCCCCTTGCCGTGTCCCGCTGGCACCATCAGCCCGGGCACCGTTCCCATGTCTGCGTGGTGCCAGCGGTGGCTGGGCTCCCCGCCAGCGGCATCCCCCCCCATCCCGAAACTGGGGCACTGGGCTCCACAGTACTGGTGGCAACTGGGAATGGGGGAGAGGGGACCCCAACCCCACGGCGAGGTTGGGGCAGCGGGGGGTGCGGTGTGGGGCAGGTCCCGTGGGGCTGGGGGTGTGGGGCGGCCGCGCGGGGC